GATGAACAGAACACAAACACTGAACCTATGTTAACAAAACATAAAATGTAAATAACTATCTTCTAAGGCTCTAAGGGTTTAGTACCAAGAGATGCATCCAAGTTATCAAATTTTAACAGGAAGGGCACCCAATAAATGAACTCTGAACACAAATTTACCACAAAGTCACTGAAGTGTTAGATATAGGTCAGAAAGACCTCTTTTTTTGCAATTATGGTGCAAGTACTTGTCAAGATACAAGACTAAATTTCACATATCTACGAATCACAGTATGTATCTAGAATAGTGTGGTCATGAGTTAACTGCAAATGCTGAACCAAAGATGGTAATGGGATGAAATATACATAGCTGCCAACCCTCCAAGCTCGCAATTAGTGAAAATAGGGATAAAACATGAATTTGACATGCATCCATCAAGTTATCTTTGAGTCTGGAAATATTGGTAGGAACAAATGTTTAGCATGGTGTCCAGCTAATAAAGGTAGATTGTGTTGAACAAGAAATCTCACGAACAATGCTTTAGCATTGGTAGCCTGCAGGTTTTCAGTCAATGGCTTAAAATATTCAAGAGCTGAAGAAAAAAAATGCAAGTTCTTAATTTTCCCAACCTGTATGTGCTTTTTGCTACCAATGTGCTTTCTTACATCATCTCTGCCAAAATGACCAATGCTAAAATTTGTGGTTCACTGTGTGCAGAAAAGCATGATGTATATCGGTGCTTGATGGCTGAATGCACGGCCAATTTTTGGTATATTCCAAATTAAACTTTTGTTCAATACATTTCTTTTTCTTGGTGGTGAAGACATTTTCAAGATGTGGTGTCGAACGGTAATCCAAATCGGTGTTGGTAGTGCATACGCAGAGCAAAATTCTGGTTAGGCCCTAGTTTATCGCAAAAGCATTTGCAAAACTATTATTCATGTAGATTAAAATACGCTAAAATGCTTGCTACCAGGCCAACTGTATCAATTAACTATAGTTCTAACATCACAACCAGCAGTACCAGATCATTTCAGCAACTGCCTATATCATGATCAGCACTTAACAAAAAATTGGTTATTTTATTAAATATTTAAAATAATTGAGAACTGGGAAATGCGCGATTTTTTTTGCATGTGGCATGAATCTGTGAGGGTTGCCAGCTATGAATATATGCTACAATAAGCATAGTGTTATACAGCATGGTACAAACAGACATGCATATCATCAAATTCCCTATTCTAGCACAAACAGTGATTAAGAAATAAACTAAATAATGAACCAAAGTCGTCATGTGAATTGTGTCAGTGGCCCAATTTTGTGACAAAGGTGTAGTATTCCAATGTTTCCATTAACTTCACATATCAGAGTATAATAGTACATTTATAGAATGCAAAAATACCCATGTTGCCACATGCTCAATCCAGAATGTTTCCTAAACCAGTAACATGTAAACTGTAAATCAACATGACCTTGTTTCAAGACTGTGGTACTTAACAAGATGCCATCATGAACTAAACAAGTCCTTGAAGCATTAAATATGGGCTAAATGACCCATTTTTTGTTGCAAAGGTGTAGTAATTGTCAAGAATCATCGTTATAACAGTATTTATGCAGGTTACAAAAACCATAAGCTACATTCAGTGAGGGCACCATGATGGAACAATATATTTCTGACAGAGTTCTATAAACTTATACAGGCACTAGAAGCAGACATGCCAACATTGATGAGTCCGTTTCAGTAATGAAGTTGATTTTTTCCCCGTAGGTTTGACCAGTTTTCAGTAAGGTGTAAAAAAATATCAAACTGCTACTGTAAAGCTCAAAAACATAATTAAAAGTTCGCTATTCAAAACATGCAGCGAAAATAAACATTATGTTCAACTAAAGTGATTGTAAAGTATGCATAGATGTTATTTACCACTAGTACATATGCACAAACTCAAGTTCCAACCCTTATGCAGCTCAATGGCTTGTTGCGGTCTCTCAACGAGACGTAATTCTTATCTTTTTCCATTGCACATAACTAAATCATATCTCCCGCCACGAGTCACAATCAAATTGGCATGTGATGTCCAAAAAACGTAATTGTGTCTGTTCCATCTTTTATTCACAAGTATCTGAATATTTCTTTTTATTCTTCAGTGTTGATTATTACCACTTTTTAAGAGGCTTATTTTCCCTTTCATCTTAAACATGCATCACTTGCCGGACACCATTTTAAAGCAAATTCTATAATCAGTAGCTGGATTATGCAGATGCTTTGCACGAACAGAAAGTGGCAGTTTAAAGCATCTGAGGTGCTGCTGTAAAGTTCCAAGATGAAACCCGAATCCAAATCAAAACAGATGAACAAATTTTCCGAATCGATGATTTTTCGTAGCTTTTGCTTTTATGCCATTAAGTTTGTATTTTAAGAGTAATTTTCTTAAAGACTTAAGGCAAAATCGTAAGAGTTTGCAAGTCTGATGAAGGGTAAAGTCTACTCAAGAGAAGCATATGGTCAACATGAGACAGTAATGATCTCAATAACCTGAACTGAAAGGAATACAATCTTAAAGTAAACTTAATCTGCAGTAACCTTTATTTCCTTATTATGCTCACCATGACTGTATCATCCAAGCCTTTGACTCCTGACTGTATAGTTTTTAAATTACCCTAAGCTCCTGCACAGTTTGGTCAAGGAACCTGATCAGGACAGTTATTCAGCAAAGCCCATTTTTCTTGGAGCCACAATAACCATGGTCTTTTGAACCCAAAATCAATAGGCATCTTTCATACCATAAATGCACTTTTGCTTCTTTTAGTTAGTGACCAAGATCTTGACCCTAAAAATCAACACGCTTCATTTTTAGCCAACTCCTAAACTATTAAATAGTACATGTTTGATAACCAAAATTTATGTGCAAAAACCATATTTTTCCTTTCCATCAGTGACCATAACCTTTGACCTTAAAATTAATAGACTTTTTCCTTACCCCAATGCAAGCTATCCAAATACGCAATATGTAACTAATGGTAATGTTCAGAAACCAATGTCTTTTCAGTGCCACTGACCTCGACCTTTAGGCAATGAAATCAAGAGGGTTCTTTCTTACCCTAAGCGTAAGCCATCCAAATAGTCTTGATAACTGGTGATGGTGCTACTGTACAGAAAAAAAAAAATAAATTAATGGCATCATACAATAATATACTTCATTTTATGGCAGGTATAGAAAAGCTTGACCAAGAATATACAAATAATGTAGATGTACAATATACAAAGTTAGTCCACTCCCAAGGCTTTAGATGCCATGAAACCCATTCCAAAATGCTGGTATGAAAATAAGAAAAAAGGACCTGTTTGCAATGCAGACAGGTTAAACATACATATATGTTTTTATATCAGCTAATGCTGACATGGAAGTAATTAGTAAAAAATTATCTCCTATACTACAAAGGTGAATAAAAAAGCAAAGAGATCTGAGCTTTATGTTTCAAAAGCAGGTTAAAAGAAGTTACATCAACTTTAAAATTAAACATGGGGATATTTCAAGTATGCGTAAACATCTACACTGTAATACATTAGTGAAGTGAAATTTGGTTTACAGCAATTCAACATAACATTTCAAAACAATATAATTTGCAACCAAGTCAAAATTACCACAAAAGTTTGACAAAAGAAATCATGCTGAATGGCAAGCTAAATCTGCATTAAATAACGCCTTTAAGAGTGCATGCATCTCACTTGTATTAATTATTTATTTGTAGTTGGACTACCTTGGTGGTGATCGTCTCCCATAGTACTCAGGTGGAGGTCGAACATATGGGTCTCTCTCCCTCTCTCTAAAGTATGGATCCCTTGGAGGTGGAGGAGGAAGGGGCCGCCTGTCATAGGGGTCAGGATAGGGCCTGTATCTATCAGGTGGGGGAAGGCGATAAGGATCTCTGTAATAGGCATCATAGGGATCTCTGTAAGGCTCTCTGTATGGAGCTCCACCTTTTGGCCTTGAACTGAAATGATAAAAGGAATTCAAAAAAAGTACATCTATTTTAGCTAATCAACTGAGATCACTTTTTACGCGTGTACATGTTTTAGTCTTCATATCTTTTACAATGGCCTTAATCAATAACTCTATTTACTTGTCCAGAAAAATATAAAGTTTAATTACCACCACCCAGGTCAAGCATTTTATCTGATTTTTTTTTCAATTTTATTGATCCAAAATAGGAAAATAAAACTGATCCAGAATGCTGGAACAAGTTTTATTGACCAATTATTTTTTGTCCCACCTTTTAGAGAAAGTAAACTTGGTGGCACAATACAATTATATTTGTTAATATATTGTTACACGACAGATATGCAATATCAATAGCTGGTTGATAAAAATTATTCTATGCAAATAAGTCTGCCTGGAAATTTGTAATCAGTACAGTGTTGTTTAAGATCAACATAATTCTGAACCATTTAACCACTTTTGTATACAATTGTTATACATTTACATATAAAAGTAAAATCTGATCTTTACAACTGTGAAATTATTTTTTTTTTATGAAGAATTTTCTTTTGATTTAAAGTAACGAGACGATCCATTCAACATTGAGACACTGATGCTGTGTGAAAATGTATGTGACCTTTCTCAAGCTCGAAATTCATTGTCTATGCAACTAAATCATCTGAATTTAATAAACATGCAGCAGAACTCAATCGTATTCACCACTGTCACTGTTAACAAGTTTTGTACACCCAGGAAAACCAAACCAATAACAAGATTTGCCGTTATTGTGCAGATATCAAATTTTACAATAAAGAAGATATATCTTAGGAAAGTTTCTATCTGAAGCTTGGCTACTAACATCTGGCAGAACATTGTGAGAGGTTCCATAGCTTTAACAATATAAGTCATATCACTATGACATCTAGGGTGAAGCAGTTTATAGTGGTGTCCACCAGTGGGGCATCATGCAGCATGATGTCCCACCCAGTCACATTATCCTGACACCAGGCAAACCAGTCCAAACAATAACCTCTTAACACAAACGCTCTGGTGGCCTAATGATTATAGTGCCCACCTCAGATGCAGATGGTCATGTGTTCGATCCCCAGTCGGGACATGCCAAAGACTTACAAAAATAGTACTAACAGCTGCCTTGCTTGGCAACCAGCATTAAGAGGTTAGTGTTAGGACTGATCGGCCCGGTGTCAGGATAATGTTACTTGGTGGGGAGAACATCATGCTACATGTCTGCAGCGTGATGCCCCAGTGCTAAACATCACTATAAACTACCACTCTGCAGACATCATTGAGATATGAATGAAAAATTTTTAAAGCTATGTTAAAAATCAACATCACATCACCTCTTAATGTTGAGTGCCTAGTGAGGCAGCTGTTAGTATTATTTTTTACAAGTCTTTGGTATGACTTGGCCATGGTTTGAACCCATAATCTCTGGCATAGAAGGTGGGCACTCTAACCAGAAATGACCACCAGAGCTGTTGCAATTTTAACAAGATATATTAACTAATGTTCCAATCATGTGGACATGAGCAAATGCAGAAATTACAGTAATGAGACAATGAAATACAATTCACAATGGGCTTTTGCTCCAAAGTGATAAGATATGCATCTAATCAACTTGATGACTCGTATATGAACATCTGTCCCTGGCAATAGTATGGGTTTCTGATGCATTTTGCATTATACTGTAGGATCCTCAAGACGTTGATTGAAATCGGGTATAGTGGCATATTGTCATTGCATTTCATCTCCCACAATCAAACTTACCACAATTAATTATATTCTGAATTTGTACTAATGACGTTCAGACAAAGATATAAAACATTACCTTCCTTACCTATCAATTAACTCTACAGCATTCTCACAAAGATCCTGTAAACCTTTGGTGACTTTGGGCCAGCAAGGTGGCAACAAAAGCTTATTAAATGTTTTAATATTCATTGCAGCATGGCAAGTATATCAATGACTGATAATAGGAAACATGATGTCCCTATCCCATCCAAATTTGGGGGACTTATTTTATGAGCAAGAAAAAAAAAAATGGCACAAAACATAAAAGTGCTGTAAAAATGAAATAATCACTTGCTTTGAGAATTTTGCCCCTTAAATTTGCTGTCTGCATTGTAATATCATTTTTCTCTGACTTTACATTATTCAATACAAGTGTTTTATTATGTGCCTAAATCACTCATGAAAACATTAACATGTCTAAATATCAGGCTAACCTGAAATTGACTGTGACATGGAATTTTCCATTCAAGATCTTGCTTTCGTATAACTTTAGATTACACTCTCTATCTACTAGCATTTATTATAATAAATATCCATTTTCACTGAATTACTTTTATTTCCAAAGAAACAAATAATGAATAAAAATACAAATTGTGTATTTGTAAAACTTTTTTTTATCTTGCATCATTATTTTAACCTCAAAACAAATTGAAACTTATTTGCTATAGGGTGTGATTTTAAACTTGAAAATGTTACACTAATGGCTGTCAAATACTTTAAATAAAAACCTGAATGTTTTCATTGCTAATTATTTTTAAATAGATGTTCATCTGTCAGGATTTTATCTCCTTTTTGTGACAATATCCATTACTTGCACCAGCAAAGAGACATTTAGCCACAATTAACAGCTTTATGCATTTTCCTTTGACAAAAAAAAAGCACATCCAGGGATGTATCTACGGTTAAGATTTGGGTGAAATAGGACAAAACATTGCACCCCCTGCTCAATGCACAACACTGTAAACTGGAGATGTACACCTGAAATTATCTCAACCCAAAATGAACCAGTCTGATGTATGGCAAGACAAGGATAACAACACCATCCCCCTACCAATGACATGGTGGGCATTAGAGCTGTCAAAAATCACGAAATAAAACAACCTAGGAACCCATTGCAAATTTTAACAGGTACCCAGGTAACCATTAGCACATGAATGACATGTACAAACGTAGACCAACTAATTTTTATCTCCATTTCTTTAATATTTCTTTTATGGCGATAGAGGTTTCACCATGTACTACTCTGTCTGATTCGTCCACACCGACGTAGCTGCGAATTGTCTGACCGCATGCTGTTAATAAATTTATTTAGAATGACCTTTGTACACAGATGGTAGGTATAATCCAACTTTTAATGATCATTGTGATCAGCTGCGTTAAAAGCTTTAGAACACTCGCATCTTTTAAAGTATAAGTCCTTGTTAGAACAGACCACGTTTATTCATCTGCTTTTGAACGCAGATTTGAATTACCCACGCATGTGTGCCCCCCAGTTATACCACGTGACCACGCAGTTGCATAAGTGTTATTATTTTGGAATTATAATTCTTAAGATAGTTATGGTAAAAACGTAGTAATATCGAAAATAGAAATATCGGTATATGTATGATGGCTAACTTTCAAAATTAGAGCTAGTTGACTAGAAAAACGAGCTGCTCAGAGATTACTTTGAGGCATTACTAAGATTTCAAGGTGTCTAGGTGATAATTGTTCATAATATAAATTGTGGGATTTCTTTGATGTGTGTTTGGAAATCAAAGGTATCCAGCAGGATTTCCTTTAAAAGAGCACGCAATGTACCAATCATTTAGCACCCACATTCAATATTTATCATCTACAAAGAGACTTATTACCTGTAGAACAATGCTATGTTTTAACCTTGGTATATAATGCCTCTGGGATAATGGTTTGTCTGGTTGCACAATGACAATGAATTTTATTAATCCAAACACTGTCGGACGTATGGTTTATTTATATTAAGCAGAAATCTGGTTTCTAATTATAGCCATAGCTGTCACACCTGTTTGAAGTGGTTGGCGAGTGTAGCGATTTTTTTTACGGGTACCCACGTCTACATTTCAATACACGGGTTTTTCTATACGGTCGGGTACCCGATGACAGCCCTAGTGGGCATACAATGTTGCTCAAAAAGGTTTGAAGAGATATTACATAGGATCCCCAACAGAATCTTTCAACAAAATTTAAACCTTTTTCAAAGTGGGATAAAAAATCTCCACATTAAAAGTTTTTAGAAAAATTGTTATCTAGGAACATGTTTGCAAGGACTTAATTATTCCGAAGTCAAATAACTGTTATGCTTTAAACTGTGTATAAAGTCCAAATAAATTCCAGCTTGCAAAGTGTCATCATAGATGATAACATTAAAATAAAAAAATGGAATTTTAGTAGAACAAAAATTTTATCTACTGAATAATTATAAGCATCTAACAAATAAAAACCACATTTTACATTTGTTATTTTGTTTTGCTGTGTGAATATAAAACAAATCAAACACTTACGGTCCCTTGGGACAGTCCTTGGACCTGCAAAGGATAAAGTTAAAAAAACAAAATGCATTAATTCAAAAGTCCAAGACAAAACTCTTGCCCTTTCTTGCTCATCACTGATTCTGTATTCTGGCAAAATAAACAGTTTCTTATAGGCATTCTTCACGTTGTAGAAAATTATTTACCACTGAAATTTCAAAAAGAAATCACCAAAGACTGCTTAATATATATAATAATGTACATTAAATTCTAAGAAAAAGAAAGCTACATTTAACTTAAATGAAAATCATGCAAGTTGCAGAAGGTTATGGCATATGCAAAATATTTACACACACACACACACACACACACCTGACAGCAACATTAGCCACAAAAATCTGCTTGTGTTTGGTGAAAGTAGATATCTAGAATATAATTAATATTCTACTACCATCCCAAGTGAAAAAGTCCAGCAGATGTCAACTAGTTCTCCATGTAATAAATGAGACTGATGCACAAATTTTCTTCTTTAGTCACCTCGACCTTTCCCTATTATGACCTAAATAAAAAAATATCTCTCTTCCTGACCCTCTACAAATTTTTAAATAAAGAGAGGCCAGCCCTGATAAGTCAGTCTCAGTAAAGCAATTGATTTTTGTTCATTAAGATTGACCAATTTTCAGCAAGGTGTAACAAAAGATCATAAACAGCTATTGTATGTATTGTATTGGATGTAATTAAAAGTTAGGTATTCAAAACATGCTGTGATGATTTAAACATTATGTTCAATTGAAAAAAGTATAAAGTATGCACAGACTTTATTCACAAACTTTGCAAAATTTCAGTTGCACAAATTTTAGTTCCAAAACCTATGCAGCTCAATGGCTTGTTGCCACCTCTCAATTTGATGTACTTTTTTCAAACTTTTTCTATTTCACATGACAATGACAATCATATCTCCCACCATGGGACATCAAATTGGCATGTCATGTCCAATTAACATAATTGTGTCCCTTCCAGTGTTTATTCAGAAGAATCTTAATATTCCTCTTTGTTCTTCTTTATTGATTATCAACACTTTTTGAGAGGCTTATTATCCTTTCAACAGTGAAATAATGTTACGATACAGAAACCAAAATGGTAATTGATTGTTGGTCAGACATCACAATATGCTCTGCATTATGTAGGTCATATACTGATGACTAAAGAGTAGAAATGCCATAAGTGGAATGAAAGAACTGAGGTCTTGCAGTTTGAACAAGTGAATGTTATCCACTCCCAACAAACATGCAACTACAAAAGATCAGAGTGGACATGATTGTACTTACCAATGACCCTCTTTCCCACATCTATAGCATTCTCCTTTGCCTCCCATACCAGGCTTCTGCCGCACTTTACTGTGTGAAAGCTGCAAAATATAAACCTCTGTCATATCTATGAAAATATTTCCATGTATTTCAATAAAACCCAGCAGCCTATTTTTACCATACATTAGTACCATAACCATGGTCTACATCTCCATCATGTCAAAAAAGATCATTTCAAAACTGTTACAATGGTTTTGTTAATGTGGAATCATGTTTTGCTGGAGATATTTATCCAATAATGATTAGCATCTCTTTTCATATGAAACTGATCAGTCTAAGCAAAGATGCTTTCTTTTCCCCAATACATTGAAAGCTCTTATCTGACAATTCAATCTGCATCAAAGAGAAGTATAAATGTTCAGCCCCTTTCTTTCCATTCTCAATTCATCAAGATTAGGAGTGTCATTATGTGCTATCATTAACCAGGCAAGGAAGGCACATGTCTAATGTGT